GATTTTGTTCAAACTTATAACACACGTTACACATTACAGGTTCCTGATGCATGTCATTTTATTTTTTAGATTGGATTCAAAATAGCTGACTGGTGGCCATTTTGTTTTAATGATTGGGCTTCTAGAGCCATATCTCTTAAATGCTTTGACTGATTATATTCAAATTTTATATATTCGTTATACATCATGTTATATATATACATGTATTCAAAATGACTGATTTTGAATGCTGTTCCAGAGCAACATTTCTCAATATGGACAAGTACTTGTTTGACGATCAGATACAAATGTCAATCATTTTAAAGTTAAAAAAATCATATTCCTGACATGGTTATATTCCAGCTATATTACTATAAACAAAACTATATATCTTAAATTTGATAACTAACGGGGACTGTGCCATGCGGCTTGTTCAAAGATAAAATGATAAAACAGATTATTATTTATTACTTATTATTAAGTATATTACTGAAAATAAATCGTCAATAAATAGAAAAGGTCTTGTGCTGGACGCCCTTTCACTTTTAACAGTATACCGCCCTCTTTAGGCGCGGGCGGTACGTTCAGCATAGGTCAGAGTTCGCTATAACTATTATGGGCTAGAGTCTCATACGTGTACGCCAACTGCGTTTTGTATGACTGAAGATCGCTACATAAAGTCCTTCTAAAAGAACACTAGACTCAGCGAAGTACGAGTACTAATGCACTTGGACCTCGGAATAGGTCTATACAAATATAAAACAGAAAAAAATATACACATGAATCAACATTATCGCGGATTAATAAATTAACATTTGTTAAGAGTGGTAAATTTGAACGTGGCGGTTTGAAATTTTTCAAGTTGTCATTTTCGAGGATTTTAGTTTGGTTTTGGAGAAATATAATTGTTAGAATACACATATACAGAGCCTCTGATATTGCAGTTTTTGAACAGGCTTTCTGTGGCGACTGAGCTTAAGCATACCATTTCACTTGTGGAGATATTTATCTGACACTGTACTTGAGCCATGCCCGATGTTAATTCCCGAATGATGCTGGAACTGGGGGCCATCCGAAGGTAATTGTTACCACGCTCATCGACGGTAGGAACACCGACTATTGACATTAAAATATCACAACACAGACGTTTTTGTTCACTAGAATTGTTGCGACAGTAACTCCTGATACTCCCTTCATTCTGATGGCCACTTAAATTCATGATTACCCGTGTTGGTATTCCAGCGTTGTTCAATGATTTTATAGCGGTTGCTCTCATACAATGGTTAGTGTACCGCATGCTCAACTCTGCGGCCGCTGATATTTTTTTCATCATTTCCCCCAAAGTATTGTGACCCACAGAAGCGTTTGTATACCAAGTTGTTTCCCTACCTGTAAAGTTACTAATATGCCGCTTGAAAAAAAGCATTATTGCTTGGGTGAAGCTTACTTGTATAATTTAGATTGGCCGTAACAGGACAAAGTGGGAAGTCTGTTTTGTACATCCGTTTCTCTGATTCAAAGTCATCCTTCAAATCCCTGGGGTGGTTTTTGGTTGCTTCCAAATAGGCCAAAGTGATATAATCACGTCCCCATCATCTTTCTTTAAAACAAAACCCTCTTTGTTTAAATCCCGAAGACCCTCCCTTCCTCTTCGGCAAAAGAAAAACTACATAAAACCACACCAAACGTAAAAGGGACACCGGGTCACGGTTGGACAGTGTCCCGCTGGTAAACATCTTGCTCATGTCTCTCGCACTGATAACTGTTTTGTGTTGGATTTTATTTTTCCCCTCCCGCTTCAAACTTTCTACTTTCCCTATAAATACATTATTGGCAGTTTGGAATTCCTGATCTTTGATAATGTTAATGGGGTGATTGAATGGAACATTGGTTATGTGGCGATGGATTGCTGCTCGTATTCCAGTGTAGCTTCTTATGCTGTATTTTTTCCCCAGTCTCTAGCCTTGACCTTGCCATAAAAATGCTTCAATATTTTTGCCAGCTCTTGCACTTCCACCATTTCGAAGGCTGGGTCGATTTTCCATTCAGAACACCATACTATACAAAAAAACCATAAATTTAGTACGGAAATTGGGTCATCATGGGGTCAAACGCTCACGCATTGTTTACAAACATTGAAAATGGCGACATTCGCCGGTACAAACTATAGTTACGATATGTTATTTTTTTTAATTTTGACTTTTATCAAACTTACATTTGAGTACTTTCCTAACCCATTTTGTGGAGACGTTAGTATTCACTTCATTTTTTTTTGCCCTTCAGCAGACACCGGCATTTGTTGATCTGGCTCATTATTACCGCCAGCGTTCTGTTGCTCCCATTTAATTGTAGTTTGATAAAGGTTTTCATCAGTAGCGTCAATTTCATCCAGCTGGACCCATTTGAAATTGAGATCTAAATTGATTTGAGGCTCGTCATCTGACATAATTACTATGTTCTGAAAATGACGCTAGTGACTTGTAGATGACAATATTTATCATATTTCAATCCAGTTTATGCTTTATTAATTATTCATCAAACAGGGCCAGATATAAACCCTGCCTTCAGCCAATCTGATGGCTAGATTCACACTGGTCATATTATAATGATACTATCTAAGAGGCTGCTTTTTCATTAGTCTACTGATATCACACAAGCATTTATTTGATTTAAAATAAAATTTGGTACAAAAATGAACCATGTACAATTCAGTTTGTTATTTAATTACAAATATTTTTAGTTCTTTTTGGCATGTAGCCTGAAAATGTGGACTTACAGCTCCACTGTTCATCCTTGTTTCTCTACTTCTCCTCTACATGATTTTCTGTGTAGATTAATCAGGGCCGTAGCTAGCTTTTTTTCACTAGGGGGGCAGCAAATATATTTTTTTAAGTTGCGTATAAGTGTATAAAGGCTCAGAAGTGTGCAGTTGCGCCATAAGTTAATGGCTATGGGGGGGGGGGGTATATCTATCTATTTTTAACAATAAAATAATCTTGATATATTTGATGAATGTTTACAAAACACGGGGTAATTACAGTATGAACTTTAATACCTGAAACACTTTTGTTCTATCTTCATATATAAGCAACTGTTTTACATTAATTTGCAGGACTGATTAATACAATTGATAGTTGTACAATACACAGTTTATGTTTACAACTTTGGCGATAGCATATTAATTTATCTCCAGTTAGCTTCCCATGAATAAATCACTTTTGGAGAAGGAATGATGTCTGAGCCTCGGTGTACTAGTAACATTGCAAGAGCGCCGAGTCTATCTTGAGCCATGTTAGATCGTGTCCATAACTTCACCCGCCGAAGTGCAGAAAAAGAACGTTCACATGACAGGTGTTGTAAAGAATATTGTGAGAATTCTGTGGATGGCTGGGAAATAGTTGACATCACAAACAGCAGGAGATGAAGCAGCATCATTGGGCCTTTGCCCAATTGGTGTATCACTGAATTTTGTTATCCACTTCTCAATTTCAATATTCAACAAGCAGTCTCTCGGCTGAGATAGCTCCGCTGTTATTCGTCAAAATTAGAGAATTAGCGATATCATCACGAAATAAACAAATCTGAGAGAGGCCTACCTGTAGTACCTATATGTATAACATAAAAGCAATCAGACTTGCGGTTTTTAACAAAAAGTCGAAAATATCATATTTTACCAAAAATATTCATCAAAATTAGAGAGTTAAAGATATCATCCCAAAAATGAACAAATCTGAGAGAGGTCCACATGTAGTACCTATATATGTAATATCAAAGCAATTGCCCTTGCGGTTTTTAAAAAGAAGTCGAAAATATCAGTTTTCACCAAAAATGACAAAACTATTCATCAGAATTGAAGATATCTAAGAGAGGTATACCCAAGGTACATATACACCAAGTAGCAAAGCATTCAGGGTTGTAGTTTTCAAGAAGAAGTTGAGAAAGTAAAACATTGACACGGACGACGGACAATCACTCATATGATAAGTCGACAGCGGAGCTAAAAAAAAATCATTTTTTTGGCTGTTGCCATGGAAATGGTGGACCAGAATTTGTTTTTAGAATTTACAACCTAACTAGAGTGAAGGTGTGACTTGCCAAGTTTGAACCAAATCGGCCCAACCAAAAAATCACAGAAAAGTCAAATTTCTCAGCATAAAAAAAAGATATCAAATAGTAACTTTGTGCCCACACTCAAGCTGAGTAGAATGAGCTATGTCTGAGGAGGAGATACATTTGGCACTAAGCTATCCAAAAAAACAGTTTTTGGCTGTTACTATGGCAATGGTCGGCCAAATTTTTTTCAGATTTTACCTAATAACTAGGGTGATGGTGTGACCTGCCTTCCAAGTTTGAGGGAAATAGGCCAAGCCAAAAAAATCACAGAAGAATAAATACGTGAAAACACTGGAAATCACACATACACACAAAATTGATTTTAAGGGCAATCTTGGCGGAGCGGATCGCCAATAGTGAACAAAAATGTTCGTAAAAGACGTTCACCACGAAGTGACTTGTATGTACAACAAATACTCACTCACACAATCTACAACACAACAGTGCAGATTGGCTGCTCAAGACCAATAGCATAGTGACACCTACCAAGTTTACATACAGACATTCCATGGAAGCATTGCTCGCAAACCACTATGAACTCTTGTATCATAGAACATTTACAATTACATAGAATTGTCGCCTCTAGTGATTCTGAAGATAGAACAGCCATGAAATGTTGATCTTTTTATCCTTTGTGTGCATAGGTGTTATGCTTGGCATTCAACTTAATGGTGGGTTACTTATGCACATATTTTTATTCAAATTTGGTAAATGGCAAGACATATTTCACCAACTGATTCAATCTAAAAAATTGAACGAATAAACGGCACATGTCGACAGCAACTATGAGTTTAAAAAATTGAACATGTTATTCTGCGTTTTCTTCGTAGTTTAAAGTGGATGGATTAATTGTAAGTAATACTACCATTACAAGGCCGGATACATTGACAAGTCCAGAGAAAGGTGAAACAGGTGGCTTGAGTGGCCCTCCATTGAAAGAATTGTCAACAAATACATTGAAAGATATGTATAAATTAACCCAAGGTAAGAGGTTTTACAAATTGCAATGTTTCATGTCTTAGTAATTCAGATATAACTGTTTGAAAGCAAGATACCTTTATTCCCCAAAACAGATTGATGAGTTGCTGTACAGGTGTATTTATCAAATCACACATGCATTTATTTAAAGTTGCTTGAATATGATTTTTACATGCAGGCATCCCTCCATCATGCTACTTTATGGATTGGCTCAAAAGTTTTAATCCACTATTTGAATTGCAAAAATTATTTTTCTTTTATTAACGTGCACATGAAATTGAATTCTATAAGCTATGTTTATAAAAAAAATTCTTGTTCTAGAAATCACAAGATAAATATCACAACTTTTGGAAGGAATGAAATTTTCCTGTACAGGTCTCTATTTGGCAGACACTGTCAATGAGGTGAATTGGAGTTCTTCCTCAACTAAATTGTTTGGAATGAATCAGCTTATGGCAGCTACTGTCAGCTGACTCAAAACAACAACCAAATGCAATGATTCTATACCTGTTATTGAGAGAAAGGACTAACACTTTTTTGTGACTGTGACTGCATCTGGTTTAGGTGAGATACCCATCATCGGTGTTGGCGGAATCAGCAATGGTCAAGATGCATATGAGAAGATAAGGGCTGGAGCATCATTGGTACAACTCTACACATCTTTGACGTATCAAGGACCACCAGTGGTAAAGAAAATCAAACAGGAATTAGTGCTACTACTAAAGTAAATATCTGCATTTATTATTGCTATAATTTCTAGTCCAGATCAGCCTTGCATTTATTCCATGCTAGGGAGTCAACCCAAGTACATGTACAAGGACAGAGTAGGTTTTGTCATTTTTCACAATACTCTCTCTCGTATTTTTAGGAAAGATGGATTCCAGTCAGTGTCAGAGGCAGTTGGTATTGACAGTAGCAAGTGACGTTTTCATCAAGAAATTTAATGGTACAGCTTTTGCAACAACATCAAATCATATTTATTACTATACACTGTATGTACAATAAACATAGCTTTCATAAAAAATGTGTCATCTCTACTTTGGCTCTACTATATTGCCAGATCTGGCAACTGGAATCAGCTCCTGTCGATATTCTAAAGGCATATACTTTTCAACCAATAACGTTAAACTCTGCTTCTCAGTAACAAACCTCTGTCTGTGAGAGAAAAAGA